ACTACACACTGAGTCACACCAACTACACACTAATTACACACCGAGTCACACCAACTACACACTAACTACACACTGTTTCACACCAGTGACGCACTAGTTACACATTGAGTCACACCAACTACACACTCACTACACACTGAGTCACACCAACTACACACTAATTACACACCGAGTCACACCAACTACACACTAACTACACACTGTTTCACACCAGTGACGCACTAGTTACACATTGAGTCACACCAACTACACACTCACTACACACTAGTTCACACCAACAACACACTAGTTACACACTGAGTCACACCAACTACACACTCACTACACACTAGTTCACACCAACAACACACTAGTTACACACTGAGTCACACCAACTACACACTCACTACACACTAGTTCACACCAACAACACACTAGTTACACACTGAGTCACACCAACTACACACTCACTACACACTAGTTCACACCAACAACACACTAGTTACACACTGAGTCACACCAACTACACACTCACTACACACTAGTTCACACCAACAACACACTAGTTACACACTGAGTCACACCAACTACACACTCACTACACACTAGTTCACACCAACAACACACTAGTTACACACTCAGAGTCTTGCTTTACCTTTTATTGATTTTTATTGATTTTTATTTCATACCAAGTTCTTGTTTTTTTTGTTTTGTTTTTTCGTCTTCACTTCATCGTGTTTTTTTTCTTTAATGTTTTCTCTTTTTTTGTTCACGTCACATGATGCTTTGACAGACAAAGGTCCTTATTGTAACTCAGGTAATCACACCTGTGTTGTTAAAATAAAATACAACAGATGATCTACATCAGGTTTAAACATCCTGCCCTTTTTTTGTCTCTATGCAGGATCCCAGAGGATCAGCGACAGCGAGTTTTCAGATTATGACTGTGAGGACGGCATCGGGGTGATATCAGGTAAACCCACCGTCACAATCTCACCTTGATGCTCAGAACAAAAGGATGTTCTGGTAGAACATTTTAGAATCGGTTACAGTGAGTTCACTGGTGATTAAAACGAGGTCAAACCACTCGTTTCGCAGATTACAGACAAAATGGGCGGGACTTCCATAGYTCCACCCTCTCGGTGCCAGAACAGGTGATGTCGTCTAACCACTGCTCCCAGTCCGAGATGGTCAGGAGGTCACGATCTCCGAGCCAACCTCCTCCTCAGAGGTAAGCAGCAATAAGATTCAAATCTTGAGGCTGGAGTAAAAGGAACGTGCTGAAAGACAAAATCTGATTAACTGAGATAACTTGGATTATACAGAATTAGATTAAACTATCTAAGGTAACAGATAAAACAAGATGAGATTAAATCAAATGAGACAAATGTGGATGGGATTCAACCAAATGATAAAAACAAGGAAATATTCTACAAAAATCAAAGACTTTGAAAGATTTGATTAGATGGTAAAATCTGGTTCCAAGAAAGCCAATATTTACCTGAAAGACCACACCTTTTTTACCAAAGCACTACATTTCTCTTCCTCTTTTATCCTTTGACCTGTGACCTCTGGTTGCTAGCAGTAACCCTTTGTATCCGTTGTACCGRGAGGATGCCCTGCGGCTCCTACGAGGCTCCAAACTGAGCCGAGCGCACTCTGATGCCGCTCAGTACAGCAGCCTCGACAGGTAACCATGATTCATGGCAACACACCTGACCTGGGTCTCCTTGACAGCAGCCAATCAGTGCGAATCGTGTTTCTTGTCATATACCTGAGACCAATAATTCAACACATGAGGAAAAACTGGGCTGAACCAGGACCCAGGTCTGATCTATTGACATACAGGACATTATAATATAATACTTGACCACATGTCCTCCACTCCTCTCAGAGTTGAGAATTAAAGCCGAATCCTGAAAGAAATTATTTGAAAATGGTTTTTAGAATCTTAATAAGGGCKAAGTCTCATTTACGGGAAAGGGGGCGGGACTTAAAACTTTAATTAAGATCAGCCTATGGTTTATGTTTTTCTGGCTTCAACTCCCTGGATCCTGTATATATACTAATAGTGGGCCACATAGCGCTGCACACTTACCTAAATGTGATAAAACTACCATTTTAAAAATGTTAATGTATATAAATGTTAAGGGTGCAACAACACAAGTACCCGTATCGAATCGTTCAATACAGTTCTTTAGGTTCAATACACACTTGTATCGAACAATACAGATTTTTAAAATTTATTTTATCAGCTTGTCTTCTGAAGACGCTCTGTGTTGAAGGATCAGTTTGTCTGTGTTCGACTACTCCACCTAGGCTGCATTTTTGAACGCAGATCCACCGAGAAACTTGCTGTTTCAGCAACATTTAATTTAAAAACTGGACTTTTGAGGTTAAACAAATGTTCATAATTAATTTAAATAAATTACAAGTTAAAAAGGGCATGGACGTTTCTCTTTTTTGTATCGAAAAAATATCGAACCGTGAGACTAAAGTATCGAACCGAATCGGAAATTTTCTGTATCGTTGCCCCCTTAATAAATGTTTATTTAACTTAACATATTTCATGCTCAAATTCATATATAAATAGGCGCATTAGTACAGTAAATACAGTAATATACATACAGTAAATCTTGTTCTCTTGTTTAATAAGTATGAAAACAAAACATTTGTGCATTGTKCACACTTCTGCGTGGTTCTGGTAAAAAGTCGCTGATGTTAATGTATTTGCACCTTCAGTAAACCTTTCATATTGAGCTTTGTGCAACATGCTGTAGTTGCGACTCGTAATACAATCCTTCATGGCAGACAGCGTCTATAAGCAGACTAAACACAGGTTTGTCTTGAACATGTCTTGAACATTTTTCTTTTATAATTTAAAAATTTTAACTTAAAAAGGCACTCTTCTTAGATTCTAAGAGCTGCTTTGAGTGTTCTTTATTTTAAGTAATAAAAGGTGTCAAAGCAACCCGCCTCGTTGGCGGACCGGACAGAAGTCATCTGCGGGCCACTTACAGCCCACGGGCCACCAATTGCCCATTCCTGCTTTATAAGGTCTAGTCTCATAATGTACTGTGTGTCAGTGGTCTGGTCTGGATGTAGGTAGTTTTGTGTAGTTTAGGCTCCAGCTTTAGTTGTAGATTGACGTATTTTGGATGTCGTGCTGGTAAAAGTCACGGTTGAGTCCTGGAGGAAGATCTGGTTCTAGTCCTGACTGTGTTCCTGGTCCTGATGAACTGCTTWTGCTTGTAGTTTAATGGCTGAACCATTTGTCCAGTTTCTTTGCTGTAGTTTAGTTTTTAGGCTTTATTACGGCTGGTCTGACTGCCTCTCTTTGTATTTAGGCGACAGCTGAGGAGAATGTCTGTTGGCAACTCTCTTGATTCTTACGACAGGTACTAATGTAGTCGAAGTAGTCGTATCAACATTGACAGTGTAAGAAAATTTATTTATTTATGTGTTTTCCTGTGTATAAGATATTTTAACGGTCCACACCACACCTGGACAAACCATGTAATGAATGGGAGTTGTGAGGACTACAGGTAAGCCCTGGTAGTTGTGGGTGATGTAGACGGTGAAAGGTTTTTATTGGTTTTAGACTTCTGATGGTTGTCTGTTCTTCAGTGAGGACTTCATCCCTGACTTTCCGTATGAGCCCGACGCTTACGACGAGGAACTGCTGAGGTAAACTGACGGACTTTCAGACTGTAGACGTCTGTGCAGAACAATCGTAGATGTAGAGGACAGGTGAATAGTCCTGTGACGGTGATCTTTTGACTCTTTCGTCTTTGGAGTTTCATTCGTTTTTGTTTCAATAAAACTCATTTGATGGGTTTTCTTCCTTTTTGAAAAACGTGCTGATTTTTTTTTTAACTTCCACTTGCATCGCCTCTAAGTTTTGACTCCACAGCCTGCTGGCCAGGATGATGTCTCTAACTCACCTGTTCACCAGGTGTAGTAGAGGTGATGTCACCACTGTTATGGTAACGTGCAGGTTCAGTCGTGGGATGGACCGGAGGGATTACTACAGCCGCTCCCGCTCTGCTGACCATCGAGCTATGGCCGACCGACCCATCTACACGCGGTCGCACTCGACCGACCGAGCTGACTCCTCCTACCTGAGGTCTGGTCGCTCCGCCCCCCCTTCACCTGCCCTGATCAGGTGACCTGCTGCCGACCAATCAGAGAGAAGCTCCATCTTTGGCGTTCGCTAATTGTGGTTTAAGCATGACATTGGACTCATCGCTTTGAACACCCAGCCTGCTGCTTTTTTTAACTATATATTATTAATTTTTTGGGATGCACKTTCATTTTTTAATCTTTTCTTGCATGCTTCCTATCTGTTTTTCTTATTTTCATCTTGTTCATTCTTTTAAACTGTTATTTTTTGCTGGTCATGTTGCATGAGCTCAGTCAACAAAAAAGTTTTATTTCTGAATGTTCTGAACACAAACTAAACACTTGACTCAGAAAAAAATCGTCAAACTTTAATGTCTAAATGAGACAAAAAGCACTCTTAAAAAATAACGATTGATTGCCACACCTGACAGAAATCTTAATAAAAACAAAACAAATCTTAAACAGGCATCACAATTTTACATTTTGACTTGCAGACATACAGTAAACATTGGAGGCTAACTACAACCTGCAGCTCATGAAAAACATCTGAAAGGCATAATAAGTTAGCGTGGCATTGTTGACCTCTGGTGGTTTGAGTTCTGCGTTTGTCTTCGTCATGTTATTGTTGTTGTTTATGTTTACAGTGAAGTATTGAGCCCAGAACCAGACGCTGCTCCTCATGTTGGTTCTGTCTGTTGTACGTCGCATAAACAAGTCTTAAACTTTAATTATTAAGGACTGAGACTACTTTGACTTAAGACTTTAACCTTCTTTTCTTCCTGTTGATTTGGTAGTTTGACTTCTTTATTTCTGTGTTGGTTGTTTTGCAACAGAGCAAATGTTCGAGGTGGATCCTCCCTCACGAGTCCGACAGGAACGGCGGTCTGCACTCGCCGAGGACGACAGCTGCCCGTTGTCCCGCCAAAAGGAGTTCTTGACAGAAGTATGTATGCTGGACACGACGTACACCTGCCAGGTGGTGCATTAGCCAACCAATCAGCTTCAAGGATGGTCCAAATACACGTATCTGTTTTGATACATGGATCATAACATTTGTTTGTTGATGTGGCTGTTCCCCATCCCATTGGTTGGGAAAAAAACAGCTGCAACAAAAAGTACTTTAGAATAACTTAAAATCACATTAATTTAGCTTTATGATAAAAGAGAAAATAATAAAAAGAATGAAAGAAAAACATTTTTTTTGTAAAATTGAACTGCTGGGTTGGATTTTTTTTTTATTCTTCTTACTGTTTTCTTCTGGTATGGTAAGGTGAACTGCTGCAGATTGTTTTTTTTCCATACGTACATTCCTTGTGGTCATATTTTATCAAATTATTTACATTCTTTTATGTTATAGGAATTGAAATTGGTAAAGTTTGAAGCTGTTCTGTAATTATTCCCACAATAAAGCAAATTATTTCTGAAGAGGTTGTAGCATCCATACCAACAGCATACAGAAATATTCAAAATCATCCGTGCAGGACAGCATTTTTATGTTTATACACCAAAATAACATCAGGAATAATGGAAAATTGTCCAACACTATAACTGAAAAACAAACAAACCCCGAAACTAAATTTTACAAACTATGAGTGAAACACATATTTTCAACGAGTATGAACTTTCTGCTAATTTTTAAGTATTAAATTAATAATTTCAGTTTTAGAATTAGGCCTAAGATTTAAAAATAATGAAACAGACATGTTCAGTGGGGGTCTCAAAGATTTAACTGGCCCTGCTGAGTAGGAGCATGAAGGTCTAACGCTGAGTCGTGTCTTTCAGATGGAGAACCCTCTGACTTTATACAGACAGGTACTAACTTTAACACCTGAGTGTTGTTTACCTGCTTAGTTAGAACAAGTGTTGTAGCTGTAGTTGTGGAAGAAATAAGAAAGTGCTGATGACAGGGAACAGATTTGGATGGCTTTGTAAACCTGAGGGACAATCAGCAACTTTCTTTATAGGTGTGTTGAGTTTACCTGGCAGCAATCTGCCTGTGTCTGTTTAGAAAATGTTTTTAATATCTGAAGGTTATTCTCTAAGCTGTCTGAATCCTGACCTGTTGTCTCCTCATGCGATCAGTCTGAAGCTCATCATGCAGCCGTTCGTCCTCTCATTGTCTGTTTTCATTCATGTTTTTGATCATTTCATTTCCTTTCTCCCTAAAATCTTCACCTTTCTGCCACGCCAACCACAGGAGCACCGTCAACAATCTTACCCCCACCCACCCCACATCACGAGGCCCCGCCCCCTGCCCAAAAACAGACCCCTGCTCTAGCCAATCACCAGGCACCTCCTCTTATACGAATCCAGGGACCTCGTCCTCCGTCTGCCCTAACCCATCCCCCTCCTGCACCTGCATGTGCACCGGGTACTTCCCCTGTGCCGGTACCCACTCCTGTAACAGCCCCTACACATGTGCCTGCACCTGCACCCTCATATGCACCTGCACCCTCATATGCACCTGCACCTGCACCCTCACATGCACCTGCACCTGCACCCTCACATGCACCTGCACCTGCACCCTCATATGCACCTGCACCTGCACCCTCACATGCACCTGCACCCTCACATGCACCCGCACCTGCACCCTCATATGCACCTGCACCTGCACCCTCACATGCACCTGCACCTGCACCCTCACATGCACCTGCACCTGCACCCTCACATGCACCTGCACCTGTTCTAGCACCTGTGCCTGTACCTGAACCCATAGCTCCACCCACGCCCAAACCTGCACCTCCACATGCACCTGTGCCTGTATCTGGACCAGCACCCACACTTGCAGCTGCACCTAGACCCATATCTGCACCCACCCCAACACCTGCCCCTGGCCCTGCCCCACCCTCTGGGCCAACATCTCCCCCAACTCAGACCCTGCCTCCTGCTCCAGTTCAGCCCCCAACTCCTGCCGTTCAATCACAACTACCTCCTGACCCCACCTTGGCCCCTCCACCTGCTCCGACACCCAGTCCTGCTCCTTCACCAGCCCCGCCCCCTCAGACTCCAGGTGTGTACTTCACTGGTATGATGTGTTTGTCCAGTCAGTGTAAACCAGTACAGCCTGTAGCTGGTAACTCTGAAGTTAGACGTGTGTTTGTAAACCAGTACAGCCTGTAGCTGGTAACTCTGAAGTTAGACGTGTGTTTGTAAACCAGTACAGCCTGTAGCTGGTAACTCTGAAGTTAGACGTGTGTTTGTAAACCAGTACAGCCTGTAGCTGGTAACTCTGAAGTTAGATGTGTGTTTGTGTGTGAGCGGCACCCCTGACCATCGATACCATTCATTTATTGATTTATGTGCTCATATTTGTTCCATCATCTCATCACACCTGCATGCATCAGATCCAGACAGACGCTCAGCGACACCTGGAGGGACCAGAAAAGGCAAGTCTCCCAGCTTGTACACTCAGGTGTTGTAGTCCAGGTGTTGATGAGAATGAAAACAGGTATGGGTCCGGCTTATATAACCGGGCTGAAATTAGAGCGATTGCCTTAAGAGAGTCCGAATGTAGTCTGACCGATCAGKTGTCTCTGTCTGCACGATGCAGAGGTCACATGGGAGGACCAGCAGAGGAAAACACCCAATGGTATGGCACCACCTGTTAGTCGCCCCTGTGTGTAGACAGGTAGTGTCTAGATCATGTGACCTGAAACTGTTTATCGCTTGATTCTACCAGTAATGAGGGTTTTASTTTTAGTCTCTACCTCTTTACATAGTAGATTAGTGAAGCCTCATGTCGTGGCATTCATCGATAATTCAGTCCCATAATTATTAGAATTGTCAAAAAAAATGTGAATAATTATATTTGTTAATACTTTTATTTGTTGCTTAGGTGAAAATACTATTATTTGTTGATCATAGTTCAAATTTATTTTAATTTTTTAAAGCAAAAAAATAAATAAAAATAGGGCCCAGAATTGAGCCGTGAGGTACGCCATAATGACATTTACCGCATAATAGCACAAAAAGTAAAGAAATTTGTGTTTTGCAGATTGTTTCTTTGTTGTAATAATGCTTCTTGATAATAAATCTTATAGCAGGCACCTGATTGGCAGCACCTGGGGGTACCAGAAACTCAAAACAAGTGTAAATATCAACAAAATAAGATGTTTGGCAGAGAAGATTGGGCAAATTTTACATGTTTTGCAGCTCAAATACTCAGCTCTTCTGCTTATCCCAAAAATGCATGTTCCTTACAAATGTGGCACCATTTAAAAAGGAATTTAACAGGCTTTCTAACAGGATTAAATATATTACCAAGAAGCATTGTTACAACAAAGAAATAATCTACCAACCACAAATCTTTGTGCTAATTTTATTTATAACTTTAAGTACAAATACTCGTTAGGTCTAGATTATCAGTGAATTTAGATCTCTGTTTATATTAGAGATTTTAGTCRTTCATGACTTTCTTTCTGTTGAGTTTGTTGATTTTTTTGTTTTCATCCCTTGTTGTTAATCTGAAGGAGATGTGTTACCGGCAAGCAGAGAAGGTAGAGACACTTCTGTTTTATCATTTCTTTGAGTTTTTAATCTTCATCACTACAGTAATTTTTCTGTGAATCGAAGTCAGATTGAAGCTCGGTTCTGCTTTTATTTCAAAAAGAAAACGAAAAGCTGAAATGGATTTGTTGCTTCTTGTGGCGATATTACAAGCATCATGTTCTTCCTTTGAATCATGTGATCACTCTGAGGTAGTCAGAAGTATTAGGAGTGACACCACTGTCCACAGCGACAGGCATGGGATTGATAAACTGAGATTACACAAACTACATGCTGACAAATGGAAGTGCTTCTATGTTGTGATAAACTAATGCTTCTCTTCCGTGTCTGCAGGTGTGATGAAGGACCCCACAAAGGTAAACAGACACAACAACACTACACAAGTCAACACATCAAGCACCTGCTCACATCTTAACCTGTCCTCTGCCTCCAGATGAGGGACAGTCTGTCCTTCAAATCATCTGACAGCGACGTCAGCGACGTCTCCGCCATGTCCAACGCCTCGGAAAACCGATCGGCCCGCAGGATCAGGTGAGAAACGGAAATATAAAWCCGTCACAGATCGGGTCGATGGAGAAAAAAGAAGCTCCAGTTTTAGATTCATATCGTGTGAACTGCATGTTTTTACATCACGGCTAYGGTTTACACACGCTTGCCAACTTTTGTTTGTGCGTCATCATCTGTTTATGTTGTTTTGCATGTTTCTTACACCTGTCATCGTCGTTCTGCATGTTTCTGTCCGCATGCCGCCGTCCTGTGCTCTGATTGGCTGAGACAGTAAGGTGGAACCCGTGGAGGTTCAGTCAGTGGACTTGGGTGCGGGGTCAGAGGGGATGCAGGAAGCAGTGGAAGAAGCAGCAGCAGGCGAAGCGACGCTCCAGAAGAGCATATCAGTGGAGGAGGGGCAGGAGGAGGAGCCTGAGACTTCACAGTAAGAGACTGACCAATGAAATGTGACTGGAATCGGACCGGGTCAGCACCTGTGTGCAGTTGTGATGTGCTTGTGCTGGCTCCACCTACATCCCTAGTGACATGTCTCGTCATGCCCCGCCTCCTCAGGAAATTGACAGGTGCGTTTTAGAAGCTAACATGTTTCGCTCTTCTTGTTTTCTTCTGCAGGGCAGCCTCAAACTCTGGAGCTCCTCTCACCAAGTCGTCGAGCGTCGGAGGGGAGATTTGCTCGTTGGGACGAAACGACGACGACGAAGACGACAAGAAGCGACGCTCGAGCTTCGGAGCGAGGATGATGGGGATGGTTGGACTGGGCAAGAAGAGTCAAAGCGCCTCCCAGCTCAACCCAGAGGGTCGGCTCCGGTTGAACTGCTACAGCGCACAGCAACAACTCAAAAATACACTCTCATTTATTCTTCTCTCTTCTGTTCTCTCCTTCAACTCGTTCAGAGGAGGAGAGGAAGAAGAAGGTCATCAGACTTCCTGTCCAGAGGAGCGTAGAGACTGGCTTGGCCGTCGAGTTTAAATCTCGATTCACGCGGCAACCGAGTCGAGATCCAGACGCCGAGGACCCCAAACCCGGAGCGTAGGAATGATTTTTATTCCTGCTTCAGTTTTTCTCACTCCCACCTTCTTCTCTGTACTTTTTATTACTTATTATTTACTCTGTCTGCTGATTTCATCACTGTATCTTTGTTGATGTTGCTTCGTCTGAATGCTTTTTTCAGATTTTTTTTTTAAATGTCTTGTCAGTCTCATATTTCCAGGTGTAAAACTGGCATCAGATAAACAGTTCACTGGTTTCCTGGAGGGACTGGGCCCCGGTCAGCTGGCTGGACGGCAGACTTTAGCTACGCCTCCCATGGGTAAGAATTAAAAAAAACTATATTTTATTCAACATATTTTGTGCCTTACAGTTAAGTTAGAATTTTGATTTCTACATAAATGTTTAACTTATTATTGTGATATCTGTATCTTTGCTTGAATTTATTTGCATTCATTCAAACATGAGGTTTAGAACACACAATGTWGTGATTAGAATGCAAACAGTCTGTTTTTGTAAGTTTTCAGTTTTAAATCCAGTGAGCTTTACTTTAAAGAGTAATTAAACCCCAAATCAATTTTTAAATTGGTTGTTAAGGGTATTATTTTTATATTTCTGTGCAAATTTTGACATTTTCATGTAAATTTGATTTACAGTATTTCGCAATATTTGGTCTAAATCCGTCTTAGTGTTCTGATTCTAAAGCACAACAACTGATGAGACTGTTTATTGTTTAAAACTCAATAAGTTGTCTGATTGGGTTGATCTGATTGGCTCTCTGCTGATCAGGTGACATCCAGATCGGGATGGTGTACAGGAAGGAGCGGCTCGACGTGGAGGTGATCCGAGCGCGAGGACTTGTTGGGAAACAGGGCAACAAGAACACTCCAGGTAAAAATGCTCCAGTTTAGACTCTTAAAATACTTTAAAAAGTACATCTTAAATTCATTACATGCTTTATAAAATGCAATGTTTTAGAAGAAAATAACAGATTTAATTTAAAGTAGTACAAAAAAATTAGATAAATAATAAACTAT